AAGGCAGGCTCTTCGGGGCTGTCACCTCCTCCAGCACCCCCACCTTCCCCACCACCCCCATCAGGTCCCCCAGCATCAGAGGTGCCCCCTCCTGGCCCTCCTGGCTCCCCGGCCTCTTGCTGCTGCCTCCGTTCCAGGGCTATGCGCAGGGCCAAGTACTTGGAGAGATGGTCCACTGTGGCATTCCCAGTTGTCTTCACATACCTGGGGTGGGAAAGGGCACATTTAGGGTACAGGAAGCCTCAAACGCAGAAGAGAACTTTCCGAAAGGGCTTCTGGACTAGGGTTTGTTTCTTGGATTAGGCAAAGCCAGCTTATGATGGAAGGCTATGTGATCTTTGGTGTCTCAGTGGCCTGGGGAAAGACAGGGCTCTCACCTAGTCTGGCAGTATTCTCCCTTCTCCACGAGCAGTGGGTGGGGCCGGAACACGAGCTCAATTTCTCCACCTGGCTCCGGGGGACTGGGAGCCCCAGGAGGGCTTGGGGGCCCCAGGGTACCCCCTCCCAAGGTTCCGCCCCGGTCACCAGAGTCTTCAGAGCCAGCACCCCCACCCACCCCACCAGTGCCTCCTCCCCCTGTCCCCACACTGCTTCCCCCTGCGCCCCCTCCACGGGGTCGCTTGGGAGCAGGGCCTGGGGCAGAGTCAGGGGCAGAGTCTGAGCTCACATCCTCTCCATCCCCCTCTCCCTCCCCGGGTTCTCCTTCCCCTCCACTCATCGTGGTGGTCTGATCTGACCCAGGCATCGGCCGCCTCACACGCTGGGCCCTGTAGAAGCAAGTGGCTCAGGTTAGAAAGTATCAAGAATAGGGGTTTAGACTTCAAACATCAGAGTTAAGAGACCAGGGAAATTTTAACGAGAAATTTTAATGAGATCTAATATTTATTAAATACTAACTACGTATGTGCCAAGCACATTGCTCAGCGTTTTGCGTTGATCAACTCCTATAATACATGTCTTATGAGGCAGGTTATTATATCATCTCTATGTTATGGCTAAGGAAACTGAGGCTCAGAGAGATTAAATAACTTCTTTGAGGTCACAGTCCCTTGCCTTTCAAAGGGACTGTGGTCCAAGAACCAGTAGCACTGCCTTATAGAAATGCAGAATTTCAGGCCCAACTTCAGACCTACAGAATCAGAACTTCCATTTGTAACAAAACCTTCAGGTAATTTGGATACACATTAAAAATGGCAGTGCTAGCCTGGGGGGTGATTAATTTCCAGCAGTGTGAATCTGCCCCTTATACTCCAAATCACTCTACTGTTCTAACTTACAGAGAGTTAGAAGGTGAGCTATTTTCTTCTTAAAAATAGTAGAGCCAGTTGCTGAGAAGCCACAATTTACATCCATGACTTCCAGGCCTGACAATCAGGCCATAGTCAACTTTTAGGGTGCTAAGGCTTAGAAGATGGCAGGCAGCCAAGTCAGCACCAGGAGTGGAACCCATGGATCTGTCCCACCAGCCCTGCCCCCGCTTCTCTCCCGGCTCCAAACCTGTGCATGGCCTGCATGCGCAGCCCCTCCTCGATGCTGGAGCTCAGTGCCTGCTGGTTGTGCAGGCGGCTGAGACGGATGAGCACCCGGTCTTGGTGGGCCTCATATTCCTCCCGGCTGGGATAGATTTTCGAGATCAGGGCATCAAAGTTAGGGTCTGGTCGTAAAGATCGCTTGGATACCAGCTTCTTGCGGCAGGTAGGGCACTCCTTGTTCCTGGGGTGGGAGACAGGAGGCCCTGTGCAGTCAGTAGCCAGGACATTGAGGCCTCAACTCTGAACCCTTTACCTCATCTCAAATGTGACCTTCCTATTACCCGCTCCGCAGGGCCGTGACAATGCAGTCAGAGCAGAATCGGTGGAGGCACTCCTTGGTGGTCATTGTATTCTTCAGCATGTCCAGGCAGATGGGGCACATGAGTTCCGAATGCAGTGACCGAGGGGAAACTGCAATCTCTGTGCCATCCATGATGGCTTCCTGGAGGCATCAGAGAGTGGAAAGGTGATTGGGTGTGGGTTGGGGGAAAAGGGTTTTAGAAACAAGCAGTCCACCCTGGCCAGGTAGCTAAGTTGGTTAGAGTGACGTCTGCATATGCCAAGGCTGCACGTTAAATTCCCAGACGGGGCACACACAAGAACCAACCAACTGATGCATAAATAAGTGGAACAACAAATGGATGTTTCTCTCTCTTTATCTCTCTCCTTTTCTCTCTAAAATCAATAAAAATGAGAAAGAAGCAAGTTGTCCATGAAATGAAAGTTCTCAGAAATACATTGAGATAGCAGAATCTGGGTACTCCACGTTGGCCACTTGAGAAAGATGGGAGTGGGAGGGGGCGGAGCAGCTGCTGATTTGGAGGGAATGGAGAACAAAGAATTAATGTCCCTTAACCAAGAGCTGGAGCTTTGCAACAAGAGGATGTGAAGTTTAAAGAGACCCTTGGGGTGGAGTTGGCACAGACTGGTGGTTTGGGGAAGACTTTTTCAACAGAATTTCTTATAGTGTAGAAATCCTATACTGGTACTATTGCACCTGTATCAGATCATGGGACTCCATCCCATTACTGTATCAGACTGTTGTTGAGTAGGGGGCTGGTGGCAGGCTGGGAAGCTCCATTTTCAATAAACTCCCAAAATGAGTCTTAGAGGCATTGATCTATGACACTGAACTGAAGAACTGTAGAAAGGTAACTTCTGTCTACCACCTTTCAAAAGAAGGCAGTTATATTTGCTCTACCTCTTTGGCTGTTCTGAGGATTAAATTAATGTAAAAGTGGTTTGAAAAGGTTAAGGTGATTCAAAAGTAGGACCAAGGGATTCTGTGCAATTGGGTAGGTTCGGTAGAAGGGGGCAAAAATGAAAAAGAGGCTCTGATAGGAAGTCTGTGGATTGAGTGGCTTGTGGAGAAGGAGTAAGCTGTGAAGGGAGAATGCTGTCACCTGCGGGGTCCGGTGGAGCTCATACAGACTCAGTTCCCACGTTTTGCTGGCATTCTGGGCATTCGCCGGCGTCGTCATGGTGAGCTAGCCAGACCCCCTCCGAGGATCCTCCGCGGAGGGGGAGGAGAGGTGGGCTGGGAAGAGGGAGGAGGGGGAAGGGAAGGGACAGGGTTAGGGGACGCCCCCCTCCCGAGACCCCGCCCCTCCGGGGCCTTCCCTTCAGCGCCCCAGCGACGTCGAGGCCCCTCACCAGGCTCCCGCAGTCGGTGTGCTACCGCTGCTGCAGCGCCGTGCCCCGGGTGCCGAATCCCGGGCCGAGTTCGCTTCGTCCACAGCCGCTGCTCAGACAGTAGCTCCCGCCGCTGCCGCCGCCAAGACACGGGAGCTGGGGCCCTACGTCACTTCCGCCTGCCCCTCCACTCCACTCCCCCCGCCGGCGTAGACGTCACCCCGCCACTCCCGGCGCGAGTGGGACGCGACGTGGACACCCGGTTCCGCGGCCCTTGGGTCGTGCCCGTCCCCAGCCAGGAGCAGTTTCCTGGAGTCCCTCGACATGTGGGGACCACGGTTTCCGCCCCCGACCCAGCACCATCTCAGGGCCAACCTTTGCCTTCAGTCCCTTCCATTGGCCCCTACCCGGGGCCTCCGCTTGGGAGGGCGGGGCCTGGAATCACTGGGATCCCGGGAGGGGATGGGGGGTGGCATGGGGGGTGGCATTGTAAAAGGGCCACCTCCCCCACTCCGTGTCCCCTAGTGGCTCTTGGGAACGGCTCTCTATCCCCACATACAACTTCTTTGTAACCTCAGCCCGGGATTCTGGGGGTAAAAAGTTGCCAAGCATCGTCTGCAGCTTCAGTCCTCCAGTCCTGTGAATACAACTAAGTCCCGAAGTGCCCGGGATTCCCCTGCCACCCTGGGGACTTGCTCTACCCTCCTCTTGGGCTCTAGACCCCCCGACCTGCTCTCCCCTCGAGGTTTGGGGGCGGCGGCTCCGGACGTCCAGACTCAACTCTCGGCCGGAGCCAGAGACTCGAGAATTGCGTTTGGACAATCAGGAGCCGCGGCCCGGGGCGGGGGAGGGAGGCACACGGGAGGAACCGGGAATGGAGACACCACGCGGAAGCAGGAACACGCACACAAAATGGAGCCCCTGTCGGGGAGGGGAGTGTGCGCGCGTGTGTGTGTCGGGGGGGGCAAGAGGGGCCGAGTGTCTGGACTGGGAAGCGGGCAGAGGCCTCCTCCAGGACTTTGCAGTCAAGGAAGGGGACCGGGAAGCTAGAGAAGAGGAACGGGCAGAGCGATTCCCATGGAGGGCAGGGAATGAGATTCAGAGAAGAGAACGTGATAGGCGTCCCCGTCTCCTCCGGCCTGAGCTGGGGATCCCGGACTGGGGCTGCAGCTGCCAGGGGGTGGTCTGTTTCTGGGACAAGGGAGCAGTGGGTCCCCTCGCCCCCTCCCCCAGTTTTCCCCTACTTCCCTGTCCTCTCTCCTTCAGTCCGTGGCCAGTCCTTATGTGGGCTCCAGAGTCGATTAGCCAGACCCCCTCCCCTTCCTCCTCCTCCTCCCAGCCCCCTCCCTTCTACTCTCTTCCAGTTCCTTTCATTGCTGGTCCATTCCCCTAATCCTGGCCCCCTCCTGTAATCCCCCCATCCGACCCCAGACCGGCTGCAGCTATTGTAAAGTGGAAAGAAAGGGGAGGGGGGACTCAGAGAAAGGAGGGGGTGGGTGGGGAAGTGCCACCTGTTCCAAGACCTCCTCCTGAGGCCAGACTGGACACTGGGACAGGACCATGAACAAATCACTCTTGGGGACCATAAGAACCCACCGTATTGGAGGGAGGAAACTGGGGCTGCAGTACTAGTGGTAGGGGGTGGGGCAAAGACCCCTTCCTCCAAAAAGACCCGGAGTGTCAGGAATACACAGTGACACACTCTCTCACACCCGGCGGCAGGGGTTGCCCTGGGAGACAAGGCAGTGAAAGGGAACAATCCTTTGGGAAAGGGAAAGGAGGGGGAAGTGGGGAAGGGTCTGAGAGCTTGGACATAAGAAGAACTGGAGGTGGCAGGGAAGAGGATTTGGAATTTATTACAGTCACAAGCACCCCTGCCTCCCATATTCAGCATTCTTGAGCCATACACTGCCACCCCTTTTGTAGCTTGGGAACTCAGAGTTCTCATCAGCAGGAAGCCCAGCAGAGTGGTGGGGGACTGAGCAGAGTCCAGGGTCCTTGAGGCAGTTAGATGAAAAGACCTCCTGGGAGGGGGAGAAACATTTGGACAGTTGCATAGGTGGAGACAAATGGGCTGGGGAGCACCCACCCTCTTCTGTCTCTGGCCTTTGGGAACTTCTGCCCTTCTTCAGTGGCTCCGGGCTCCCCTCATACGCCTTCACATGCCATCTGGGTTCCACTTCTCTTGCCCTCTCCCGTCCCAGGATGGCCTCATACCAGTGACTTCCACTGAGGCCCCGGTGATGTATCCACTGTCATCAGATGCTAAGAAGGCGACCACATCTGCCACATCTATGGGAATAGTGAGGAGAGGGCAGAATCCTACTCAGTCTCATAGACCCAAAGGAGCCCACCAGAAACACCCCCTTCCCCGCAAACACACACACCAACCATCCACCCTGGTGGGACCCTCTCAGATACCACAGATTTTGGCATCTGTGCTTTCAGGGCCCTCCTCAGAGCCTCCTCCTCAGTGCTCACCCTCAGGGTTTCCCAAATGTCCCATTGGGATCATTGCAGTCACCTGTAAGGAAATAGTCATATGTGGCTGAAAGTTTCTTTTATGGATTTTTTTGCAGACTGAGTCTGTGATCCTTTTTCCTGTCTTCATCCCCTGGGCACTTACTGATTACCTACTTCTTGCCAGGTACTGTCCCCAGCATTCTCTCACTCTCTCAACACCAAAGAGGCTAGGTCTCTTAATGATTCGCTCTCAGCCTTCCACCTATGGCCTCCTACCTTGTCCAGCACTTTCTGTGGCACTTTTTGGGTCATGGGTGTTGTAATGAACCCAGGAAGGACAGAGTTACAGCGGATTCCATATCTGTGGAAGGGAGAGTGGCTGCTGACTCTGGAGAAAACTGAACAATGACCCCTCCCTCAGAGATCCCACATGCACCAGCAAAGTCTCCTGTACCCCCAGGTATCTGACTAACCTTCCGAGCTCCTGGGCTACAGTCTGCGTCAGCCCAATCACTCCGGCCTTGGATGCTGAGTAGTTTGTCTGTCCCATGTTCCCCACCTATAGGTGAGTTAGTGATTTGGGATGAATCCGGAGTCCAAAGGAGAGGCTCTCCTCCTTATACCCTGTCCTCATTCCAACTCAACCTGACCTTCCCTATGATGCTACTGATGTTGATGATGGAGCCATGACAACCACTGGACACCAGGGCTTGGGCTGCAGCCTGAGTGACTAGAAAGACGCCCTGGGGGGAGCAGGGAGAAGAGTAATAAGGTAGAAAGGATCAGGTGGGGTGACAGTCATCCTCCTACTCCCTTCCCAGGCTAAAAGAGCCAGAAGTCACAGGTTCAGAGGTCACCACCTTGAGGTTAACAGCTATGACTTTGTCCCAGTCATCCTCAGACATGTGAAGCAGAAACTCATCCCTGGTAACACCCGCACAGGACACAACAACAGATGGCGGGCGAGTAAAGCAGGCCTATGGAAGAGGGACGTTACACACCAAAAAACCACGAATAGTCAGGGGCCGTGGAGGCAGTAAGAGCGCTTTAAAGGGGTTGAGGTTGTTCGCGTTCACCTGCACTTGTTCCAGCAGGCGCCTGGCGGACCCTGCCTCAGACACGTCAGTCTGGAAGGCAGCGTGGGCCTTCTTCTCGCTTCCTGGCCTGTCCAGCAGCCGCACTGTCTCCCGTGCCGCTGCTCCATCCAGGTCACAAGCGGCCACTGCAGCCCCCTCTTGGGCCAGGCGCACACTGACTGCTCGGCCGATGCCGCTACCCGCACCTGCGGTGGGAGAGAACGCGGCGGCGGGGAGGGGGGGGGGGCGTGTTCAGGGAAGAATGGGCAGGGGTTAGAGGTTAACAGGACGCAAAGTTATTAAAACTCGGACCAGTGGCCAGAGGTCACAGCGGCTTCACAAGCCGAGGGCGCACCCCTGACATTATTCCGGCACCCCACCCTGCCCTGAAAGAACACCCCCTCAACCTGTGACCAGGGCCACCGCTGAGCTGAGCCGAAGCCGAGTCGCCATGGCTGGCTGTGCATGAAAAGGCAACCCAGCAGAGCCAATCCAGACACAGGAGGGGCGTGGCGAGAGCAAAGCCGAGCCAATTGTGGCCCCAATACGCCATCTGTGGCCTTCCGCTCAAGCTGACCTACCACCGCAGGGGCGTGGCCAGACACTATCACTCGGAGCCCTCATACCCCACAAAAAGACACAGGCTGCATTTGGGGTGGAAGATTCGAGGCCTTTATTTCCGGTCACCACCCCACTCCCGCGATTGAAACAGCGATATAAAAAATTAGAAACAAAATAAAAATCAGACCATGAGATTAGTAACTAAAGCTCCCCCCATCACTTCCAAATCAGGACTCACGATTGACGTTTAATAGATATTCATCCCGCCCCCGTCCCCACCATCCGGTTTAGGGCTCTTGTCTTCCCTGAAGCCTCCAGAGGGAGGGGGAGAGGGGAGGGGGGGAGGGAGGGAGGGAGGAGGAGGACCTTGGAGAAATCTGTGTGGCAGCTTGGCTTTCTAGAGAATAGGTGGGGCACGAGACTTGGGGTAGGCTGCCATCACTAGTCTTCCAGCTTTCCACATGGCCCCATTTACCCCGAAAATCCAACAACATGGTCAGCACATGCCCAACACTAAGGTCCCTCTGGCCACTCATTCTCATCCCTATAGGCCCATAAATCTGCCAAAACCTTGCTGCCCTCATGCCGAAATAAGCACTTCTGTAGGATACAACTTCCTTTGGCAGATGCACCTGGTCAGAGACCCTAACCTCCACAGACCCCTGACATGGGGGCTTAAAGGCTAGAGGTTTGGGGCTGGGGTGGGGGTGGTTATTTCCACCTCTCACTCCAGGTGGGCAATCAGCACCATCATGACAACTCCCCCCAGCAGCCCCAGCACCTCCAGGAGTGACTGCAGTGGTGATGCCTCCCTCAACAGCTCAGGCAATACAGACACCGTTGCTACATAGATAAAGCCACCTGCAGTGAATGGCAGAATCCAGCCAGGACCTGTACCACCTGCAACTTCACTGCCCACTGCTCCTCCTTCAGTCAGAAGGGCACAGGCTGTGCCTGCCAGTGCCCCTATTGATGTCAGTAGTTGTAGACACATTGCCTGGTGGGTAGAAAAGAGAGGCACTTATCAATGTCTAAAGTTTATCAGTGACTTAGGTGTGCCTGGTAGGTATAGGTATGTAAGGTAGAACATGTGTCTTTGGAAACAAGAGTGTGGCAAAAAAGGGCAGGGGTCTAGAATAAACACTTTCTGAAAAATCTTAGATATCAAAAAGGTCCTTTCCAGCCCTGTCGGGCAGCTCAACTGGTTGGAGCATTGTCCTATACACCAAAAGATTGCAGGTTTGATCCCTGGTCAGGGCATGTACGGGAGTCAACCGATACATGTTTCTTTCTCACATTGATATTTCTCTCTCTCCAAATATCTTTGGCTGAGAATTTTTTTTTTTTTAAAAGGTCCTTTCCACAGATCTTCTGATTCAATAATCCAGGGTGGGGAATGTGGTATGAAAGACCCCCGTAAACCATTCAGAGGGTTTATGGCCAACAGTTCAAGAAATAGCTACAGGAAAAGGAAACAGAATTTCCTCCTATTTCTAGGTGTCTTATCAGCAACAGCGTGATGTGTTCGGAACTAAGGAGAAGCAATCTTGGGTTTGGGGTGGCTAAGCAGGGGGTAAAGGGTTGGAGGCAATCACATTTAGTGCACATCATCGCCAACCTGCTTTTTGCTGCAGCCAGACTGGACCAAGATGGCAAAATCCCCAACCTCATGGGGCACTTCATGTAGTAGGACAGTCATTGTGGTCAGGATCCCCAATCCCCAACTCCCTCGAAACGAAGCACCAATGGCCAGACCATCTGTGAAGTTGTGTGTCAGGTCAGCAGCCAGATTCAGGTATCCTGATACACGCAGGTCTTATACAAGAGAAAATGAAGACAAAACAGTTAGATGCTTCATCACCACCATCCTAGCCCTAATCAGCCATTATCACATCTCCCCCCAAGAGGGCCCACATCACACCTAGCCCCTCAGTGTTTTCCAGATACCAGCCATTACCCACAGTATATATTCCATGTGATTCATGACGATGTCCCCTGCCCAAGCTTATTACCAACTCTAGACCTCACCTGAACCTGTTTTTCCCTCTTCAGAATTCTGAGGTCTCACTGGCCCATCCTTGGGCCCTGTGCTGCCTCCTCTCCGCTTCCTCAATCCCCCTACTTCCTTTTCTTCTTCCTCTGAGTTCTGTTTCTCCTTTGAAGAATGCTCTGAGGGAAGAAAAGGATTAGTAAGAGTAGGGGACAGAGACCTCCTGATATGTCCTCAGAAAGGAAGTCCCCTCCTACCTAAGGGCCATAAGATGAATGGATTCTGAGACAGGCAAGGTGGCTTTCAGGAAAGTTGTTCCTGGGCTTACCCTGTGTTCCATGTCCATGACTTCCGCGTGTGTGACTATGTCCATGGCTGTGACCGTGTCCATGTTCTCCTTTCACATGTCTCACAAATTTCTCCACCACAAGAAAGGTGACAATTCCACTGAGGACCCACAGTCCCACAGAAAGAATGGGGCCCTGGCCTGGGAATGGAGGCATTGAGACATTAAGGGAGATTAAGGGGATTCTAAACCCCTCCCCCTCAAGTGTAGGAGAATTGGGAGGGACGGACCTTCCCCAGCACCCCAATCCCTGTCTCCATCCACCCCTTCCTCACCACTGTGGGAGTGTCCATGACCCCCCTGCTCTTGAAGGTGGTGAGAATGAGGTTCTGGAAGAAGAGGGAGAAAAGGCCAGGTGAGAGAATGAATACCTGAACCCAGGGGTGTGAATCTGCAGAAATATTGGAAGATCAGGGATCACAAAGGGAAAAGAACCCTTTACCCTTTTGCCCAAAGAATAAAATATATTAAGATTTGAGGTAGAAACCTGAAGTTACTTACCCAAGGCATGAGGTATAAGGTGCAGGAAGGCATCTCCCAGGAGTCCACCAGAAGCAAAACTGAGCAAGATCTGGAGCAGAGACCGGTGCCGCGGAGAGTTCGACTCCACAGGGATAAGGAAAAGAATGAGAAATGGAGCTGCGGAGATCAGCACTGTGGCCCCCAATGCCTAGTAAGGGAGAGTCAAGGGGTCAAGTGTGCAGGCTATGCCAACAATCCAGAACCAGTCCCTCTCTCCCCCATGTCCTTGGGACTCACATAGGCCCAGAGAGAGACAGTGTCGAGGTCCTGCCTGATGCCTGGAGCCTCCCCATAGCCTCCATGGCTGTGCTCATGGTCACGTCCATGTCCTTTGTGGTAGAGACTTTCATGGGAGTGGCCATGGCTATGGTCATGGTGCAAATCCTCATGTGAATGTCCGTGGTCGTGACCGTGGGTATGCCCATACCAGATGCTCTCAGGAGTGTGGCCATGGACGTGGGCGTGGCTGTGTCCATGGTGGAAATCTTCATGTGAATGTCTCTGGCCATGGATGTCCTCGTGCAGGTCCTCGTGCAGGTCACCATGACCCCTGTGCCCGGCCACTAGCAGCCCCAAGGCCTCCCAGGTCAGCAGTCCCACAGCCACCCAGAGGGGGGCCCTTAGACCTCTGGCCATCACGCTAACAGGAGGAACAGAGACAGTGACTCCACTTGATCCTCAACTCCATACCTGTGCGGGTCCGCTTTACTCCGCTCGCGCCCTCCATCCACTTCTATGGGCCTCTTTCCCATTCCACTCTGCCCCCACCCGCATTGTTCCCAGGACTCGTTCTTTTTATTCTGAACCTCCTTCCAGATGTAGGGCCCCCGGGATACCACTGTAAGCTTTAAGCATCCACTTTACGGACTCTCCGGGCCCTCGTCTCTATGACGAGGTCGGGGGGAAAAGCCTGGAAAGGACGAGAGGGGGAAGCGGGGAATTCTCACCGGCTCCAGGTTCCTCTCCTTTCCCCGTTTGCTCGGACGTGGCAGTCCTAACTCCCGCGAGAACTGAAAGTTCCGTTCTACCTCGGTCCCAATACCTTTACCAATATGGCGGCACTCCGGTAGCGGCGAAGCCACCGTGCCCTAGTACGCATGCGCAAGGAGGTTATTTGAGGGGAGGGTGGGCGAGGCCAGCTAGCAGGCCGGAGGAGACCGCTTCCTCCGTTTTCATCTCAACGAAGGGGTGGGAACTAGTTCAGAGACTTCCCGTCTATACCAAGATGGCTACCACGTAGGTGCTGCCGTTTTGGTGTAGAGCGGATCGAAGCGCTTAATTTGACCCGGTTCAGGCCAAAGTCTTTTTCTCTGGGGTTTCTTCGTGCTTAGCTAGCCCCTCATCAACCCTTGGGAACCTCTGGTACCTCTTCAGTATCCCTACACTCAGCTAGGAATCATGTCTTGGGCTGCTCGCCCGCCCTTCCTCCCCCAGCGGCATGCCGCGGGGCAGTGTGGGCCGGTGGGGGTGCGAAAAGAAATGCATTGTGGGGTCGCGTCCCGTTGGCGGCGGCGACGGCCCTGGCTGGATCCCACAGCGGCGGCGGCGGCAGCCGGAGAACAACAAACCCCGGAGCCGGAACCGGAGCCGGGGGAGGCTGGACTGGACGGGATGGGCGACTGCGGGCGGGGTGAGTGCCCCAGCGAACAGACTTGCGAACCGGTGACCGTGTGATCTGCAACCCCTCCCCCGTCCCTTAGGGCTCTTTCCCTGGCGCTCCCGCCCCCTTGTTTATAAACACGCGTCCCCTTCCTCACGAGGACCTCAGCGCCCTGCCCCTGGGGCGGGGCGGGGTTGGGGGGAGGCTTCCGCCCTCCTGGTTCTGGCCGCCTGAGGGCCTGTACACCGCTCCTGCCCTGCTTGGGCCGAGAGTCCTCGAGTTTGAGGACTCTGGACGTTTGAAGGCAGGTCCTGCGTCCTAGGAGGGGTTCCTTCCTGCATGCTTAGGAATGAGAATAGAGGGTTTATCCCACGTGTTGCCCCACCCACACAAGACTGGCTTGGGCGCCTAGCTGGCGGTGACCAGATAACACTGCTTGGAGTTCTTATCTGAACTATCCTTCTTTACTTTGTGAACCCCCCGTCCTTGTCGCCACAGTTAGGAGTTAAACTGTTGTATGACAACAGGGTGTCTCTCGACTTGGGGATGGGGGTGAGTGTGGAGGGCGGGGTGGATGTAGGAGATGGGGCAGGTAGCAGTGGAGGATGTGAAAAAGTCTTCAGTTGGATGATCGAAGACTCACTTTCTCTTTTTGTCTCTCCTGTCTGTGTGTCTTTGTGCCTCTGTGTACCCCTCCTTCAGACTCCCGAAGCCCAGACAGTTCTTCCCCAAATAATCTCTCCCAAAGTGCCCCTCCCCATTCTCCTCCTGGGCCACCTCTACCATCTTCAGGGGCTCCACCCCTTGGAGGCTCTGGGGCTCCACCCCCACCCCCAATGCCACCCCCCCCACTGGGGTCCCCCTTCCCAGTCATCAGTTCTTCCATGGGGTCCCCTGGTCTGCCCCCTCCAGCTCCCCCAGGATTTTCCGGGCCTGTGAGCAGTCCTCAGGTGAGAGGCCGTTACTCATGTTCTGCCTGTCCTCTTTCATTTCCTTGTTTTCCTTGCAACCCCAGATCCTAGTGTGAACTTCCCCATGATCCACTGACCTCCAGATCTCTAATTCTGGCAAGCGTGTGGTCCTTGTGAGACCCTGTGTCCTTCCTAAGGTGATCTTGCAATGCATGCTTCCTCCCCAACCCTATAAAGGAACCAAATACCCCAAATGTTCCTATCATCTGTCAGTGATTTTCTGCCCTTTTGGTCCTATCTGCCCTACTGAGTTATATGCCTTTCAGGGTCACTGTGTCGCACAGTTTCAGGGAACATTGTATGTTTCATCTCTGGGTTGTGCTCCAGGGTTGGCCCTTCACATGGACTGCAGTGTAATAACTCCCTTTGGGATGTGCGATGCAGGGCCCTGCCTAGGTGTTATGGCATGATTTCCATCACCTCTGAGAGATGCTCTTTCCTAGCGAGTCTCCCCATGACTTCCATATTTCCCCTATCCCAGATTAACTCAACAGTGTCGCTCCCTGGGGGTGGGTCTGGCACCCCCGAAGATGTGAAGCCACCAGTCTTAGGGGTCCGGGGCCTGCACTGTCCACCCCCTCCAGGTGGCCCTGGAGCTGGCAAACGACTATGTGCAATCTGTGGGGACCGAAGCTCAGGTATGGGGCTCAGAGAACCAACAGAGAGGAAGAGAGAGAGAGTCGGCCATCTGTCATCCTCTGTGGGATTCCCAGGGCCTCATGGGGTTTCTTTGGAGCAAGTGAGCTGGGGGAGGCCCAGTGAGAGCTAAAGAACCTGAAGCTCAGATTTGGGATAGGGGTGGTCAGAGGGAAGAGTGGGACTGGACCGCCTCTTATGGCCTCTTTCTCCAGCTATGTGTTTGGCAAGCGCGGAGTAGAGTTCTAAGTTTGCTGGAGGCAGGTTGGCAAGAGACTTAATGGTGAGAGATTTACATGCAGCCTTGTTACTGCTATTTCCCTCCTCCTGTAGGCAAACACTATGGGGTTTACAGTTGCGAGGGTTGCAAAGGCTTCTTCAAGCGAACCATTCGTAAGGACCTGACCTACTCCTGCCGGGACAACAAGGACTGCACGGTGGACAAGCGCCAGCGGAACCGCTGTCAGTACTGCCGCTATCAGAAGTGCTTGGCCACTGGCATGAAGAGGGAAGGTAAGATCCTGTCCTATCCAGGGTTCCCAGTCTACCCTATGGGAGGGGAGGGGCCAGGAAGAGGGATTTCAGGAAACCTCTAAGGACCCTGTCAGGAAGGCCAAACTGTTCTGTCTCTCCTCCAGAGGGCGATATTTGATTTCTCTCACCCCTCCTCATCAGGTCTTCTCCCTGATACCCTTATCTGGTCCCTTGAATTTCCTTCTTAATGGTTCTGCCTCCGGCCTGCACCTGTGACCTCTGCCTCCTCTGGTGTGAGAGTAGGATAACTTTCCTTACCCATGATGGGCTTCTCTGTGTCCCCTTTCAGGCTGAGTAGTTCTTCCTCTCTTTGATCCAGGGCTCCCTCCCTCGTCTCTGTCTCCCTGTTATCTGTGGTTGATCCTCCAAACTCTGGGATTCCGCTCTCTTAAGCCTCAGATTTTACTGAAGACCTCAGGGCTGCCTTCCCTCTTCTTTACCTTATCTTCTTCAGTTTGATTCTGGAATTCTGAGGGAGATACTTTAGGGGATACCCTGATCAAATTCTTCATTTTAGAGATGAGTCTGAGGCTTAGAGTTCCAAGCCTGGGGCGTTCCATGCAACAAAAGAGTGTCAGAGCTGGGATCAGAACTCACATCTCTGAAGACTTAGGGCAGTGCTTCTTATACTGCTTCTCTGTTGAGGCGGAAGAGCACAAGATTTATAGTCAGGCACACTTGGATTCAGATATATGACTTAACATGTATTGTGTGAACTTGGGCAAGCAGTTTGACTTCTCCAAACCTGAAATTCTTCTTTAAAAATGGAGACAAGGCCATGGCCGGGTGGCTCAGTTGATTGGAGCATTGTCCTGTACACCAGAAGGTTGGAGGTTTGATTCCTAATCAGGGCACGTACCTAGTTGCAGGTTCAATCCCTGGTCGAGGTGCATATGGGAGGCAACCAGTTGATGTTTCTCTCTCACACTGATGTTTCTAGCTGTCTCTCTAAAATCAATAGACATATTTTAAAAAATAAAATGAAGACAGAGGCTTACAGTATTGTTATAATAGAGTGAATGTTAAAATATGTTTGGCACATTTCTTAATATGTAGTAGGCCCTCAGTTTAAATGTTACCTTTCTCCCTCATTTCTTTACACTCTCCTTCCCTTCTTCTTGGCTCATGTACCCTTTTATAACCCCTGCTTCTAGTCTGACCTCAGTCCACTGTAATTTGTAGTGACTTTCTCACTTCCTATAAATACCTCCTAAAGGCCATAAGACCCTGATAAGGCCCTAAGGACATTTCAGAACTTCATCGTGGCTGGCTGCTGACTTTCCACTTTTTCTTCCTCCCTCCCCCCACAGCGGTACAGGAGGAGCGTCAGCGGGGGAAGGACAAGGACGGGGATGGGGAGGGGGCTGGGGGAGCCCCTGAGGAGATGCCTGTGGACAGGATCCTGGAGGCAGAGCTTGCTGTGGAACAGAAGAGTGACCAGGGCGTTGAGGGTCCTGGGGGAACTGGGGGTAGCAGCAGCAGCGTGAGTGATGGGGTCAATCCACTCTCCTTTGTGATGGGGGGTGGGAGCCTAGGTCTCTTCTGTTTCCCCCTCCCCTCCCCTCACAATCTTCTAACGCTCTCTGGGACTGGAAGTGCTGCCAAACAAGTCTCTTAAATACCTGAGGTGGGTGTCATAGTATCCTCTGTCCTCACCCCCAAAGCAACCCACTGGTTGGCAGAACCACAAGCAAGTCCCAAATAAATGTTTTCACGAATTCCAGAAGGAAAGCCTAATTTATAGGGATTGGTTTAGATGGGGCTTGAAGAAATACTACATTGTAGAAGGGGGTGTCAAAGTGTCTTACAAGGGGGGACTCCCATTATAGCCCCAAATCTCCTGTAATTCTTACCTCCCATCCCTTGCAGCCAAATGACCCTGTGACTAACATCTGTCAGGCAGCTGACAAACAGCTATTTACGCTTGTTGAGTGGGCAAAGAGGATCCCACACTTCTCCTCCTTACCTCTGGATGACCAGGTCATACTGCTACGGGCAGGTCAGTGACCTTGTATCCCTTTGACCTCTTGACCCTTGGCCCCTCTTTCACATGACCATCAATGAACCCAGTGCGCACTTGCATACTCAGGGAGCCAAGCTCATTGACCTCACCACCTCTGTCTTTTCCTGGTGTGCTTGAATCCCATGGCCTGTTCTCTGGCTCCTGACCCTTGCTGCCCTCCCCCTGCCCCAGGCTGGAATGAACTCCTCATTGCCTCCTTTTCCCATCGAT